AACTTGATGATGAAGCTACTAGCCACCAACAACAAGTGCAAGAGATGGAAGGATAGTGACGACCCTGAGGTAAAGTTTTACCGTCTCAAGGCCGGGATGCATGCATGCGCTCTATTAATTGTACTTTAATTGTTTCAAATATTTCCGTTTTGTTGCCTGCAGCTTCCAAGAGTCCTCTGAGACGATTGCAAACAGAATGCAACTGTTCCATTGTATGTACACTGACACAAGGCCTCCAACTACCAAATCCGTTATTTATAGAAGGATCCAAGGAAGAACAACCTAATAGTATAAGAAGAAATTACATATTGCTCAAGGGAGTCCTCCAGTAATAATTAAGTGTTTTCCTTTTTAGCTAGTTTTCGTATAATTTTCTTGAGTATTTTCCTTCTTTCTAGCAAGTGTAGTTTTAGAAACTTCTTGTAAGGCCTTTTGGATTGCCCAACTTGTTTCTACGTTTGAATTTAAGAGTTTGAATCATAATATTAAGCTACAAGAATATGCCTCTGGTGCACTGTACCCTGTTCTTTTGCAAGATAACATTAAAGGAGTCGGATAAATGAATGCAATCTTGTTGTCTTCTCTCTTTTCTTTTTCATAATATTGCTACAAATTTTTTTTGGAGAAGCATTTTATGTTATGTATTTGTTTCAATTGACAATATTCAACTATGTTTTTTGTTTTGTTTATTTCAATTGATATTTTCAACATTGCATTTCACTTGTCATTCTTCTAATGTTATATATAAGCATTCTTCCAATATAAGCGCAGGTGAGTACGTTCTCGACAGTTTAGAAAGGTTTCCCTGTAGACTCCCAATTGAATTCACAACTCACTAGAATATTGAGATAGGAAATTTACACTCAATATCCTAATTGCGAAGTAGAGTTGTCCACAAAGAAATGGAAAAATAATTGTTCTAAACAGAGATTGAGGTTGTGTAGGAAACCATTTTTTGCAGATTTTAAAAGGATTTACTCAGAGATTTAGTCGGAAGGAACAGAGCAAAATTTTCATCTGAAAGAGCGTGAATGACAGTCTGAAAGGTACACATATACAGTAGGGCTTATTTCTTTTCTCAGCAATTCCAATTTTCTTGTTGTTTATTTAAATGAATTCCACTGTTACATTGTTTATTCTCTTTCATATTTATCCCCATAAACTCAAGACTGATATATTATGCATGGTGGCTTTTCCATTTGATGTTTGACCAAGAATTTATATGATAGCTATTGCTATTAGCTTTTTTTTTTTTTTTTTTAAACTGAGAAATCTGTCTGTGATCCGCCCTTTGGACCAATCACAGCCTTCTAAACTCGGTGGATAATGGGCCCGCCCCTCTACCCTTCACTTAAATACCGGGCTTTACTTTGCATGGTGTGGGGCTTGAACCTGCGACCTAAGCCACAAATCCTCCACCTTTTGCCACTCAAGCTAGGCCTTGGGGGCTATTGCTATTAGCTTTTATAAAGCTCCATTTTGAATATCTGCCTGGTCATGGGACTGGTTAAGTATGGATCAAAGTATTTGTTTTGGTGTTAGCAAGCAATGGTTCGTTATTTTCTCATCATGAAATTATCCCGTAACTTTTTTTTACGCTTTTATTAGCCATGCATGGAGTGTGAACTAGGCAAACAAATTCTCTTATTCTGCAGGCTTTCCCATTCATGCTTAGGTGATTGGATGATCTCATAAACTGCAGCAGATGTGTTGCTATCACATTTTGTTTTAAGTTGCAATGTTTGGAGGTTTGCTCTGTTTCTCAAGGAGCAAGATCCCCCCTACAATTTGTGCTTTCATGTAGTTGAAGCCCTCCAACTTTAATTTATAGTACTCATCTGATGTATCCCCCCTACAAGGAGTGCATCTTTGTTTGGGCCCATAACTGAACCCAACTTGTTTGGTATCAAGGCATAGCTATTGTTGTTATCATTTGGAAGAAAGCATATAGTGAAAATGGTTCTAACTCATAAATATTAGCAGTAATTCGAAGGATATGAGAATAACTGGATTTTACGAAGTTAAAGAACCATTTTTATATATGACACTAGTTTATTGCCATGTCTAGACTAATTAGTGGTTAATAGTTGTAAGTCAATGATGGAACATCTGACTCTGTTGTGTAGCCTTTAACCTTCCCTTTTGCTTTGCCAGTACTTTTGAATTCTGCAATTTTTTCTTTTTGAAGAAAAATGTTAGAATGGTTTTTGAAGATGCCATTTTTACCTTTAACATGTTGTGTCATTGTTTCATTTTATGCATGTTTTATTGATTTGTCGTGGAGCAAAAGTTCTAGCATCATGTAGTGATGCATTCACACTCATGGCATTTTCCCATCCTATAATGGGTGTTGAAGTCAGCGTTCTGTATGATAGTTGGTAATTACTTACTTTCAATCATTTTCTTTGAAGTTCATATGAAGAGTGAAGGTAACAAGACCAATCAGTCTACATGATTGTATATCGTCACACTGTAGTTTAGTTACTTGTTGCTTCTTTTACCAAGTTTAGACGGTGAATGCAATGACTTGACTTAAGAAAAGTGTTGTTCTCATGTGATTTTCACCTCAGTGATGCGCTGATGTAATGTGGTCTTTGTGATGATGGTTGGTCTTTTTAACTCAAATAAATAAATAAATTTCAAAGTGAAAAATCTCTGCTAACTTCTTTTACTGTTAGTTGATAAATCAGATGGGAAGGTTGCTTATAGGAAGAATTCTCCCAGGCTCAAGGTCACTACAATTACATTTTATACCTTGTGCACTGCTTTGCTTCAGTCTAATGTTCTCCAACATAACTAACAATCGAATATACAAATTACATTAGACAGTTTTTTAAATTTTCCTGCAGTTCCATCTTGAGAGATGAAATAACCATCAATACACTTTGCATTTTCTAGGCAATCCTTTGATGCTTGGAACTCTACAGCACAAAGACCAAATCCATATTCACCTGCATCAAATTAGCTCCTCAGTCAAATCCATGTATGACACAAAACCATCTGTCACAATCCTTTGTACAAGTAACTCATAAATTCTACCCTGTCAACATTTAAGATTGATGGTAATGATATGATTATTCATGCTCTCATATCATTATTCTAGTTAGCTTACCTAGAGTCGAGTAAAAACATGTCATTCTTCTAAAAATAGCTAAATTTGGTTTATCATTAAAAGTTATTGAGGAGTCCCATGTCAGTGACCTTCTAGTACATGAAGCAAACTTCATTATCTGTCCTTACCAAATAATATTTGCTTAGATGCGACAGCCTGTTGAGGCCTAAGGCTACTCTAATTTGGCATTCATTTTCTTACGAGCTTGGACGTTGCTTTTTTTTTTATTCTTAGCTCTTTCCCTCTTTCTTGATGAAATGATAAAAGTTCTCTTTCATGTGACCCTTTTTTGTTAAGCAATTTGGAACGTATGAAGTTGTGAAGGAGGAAAAGAAAACCAATAGACTAAAAGCTAACCAAAAGGTATAATCTGTCAAAACACCTGATTTTTTTATGAGTGAAGAACCTGATTGGACAAGCACCTCCTCTAGTTCTTAGTTGTATGAGTGTTTGATTCTTTGCTCTCGAGTTGTACACGTAATGTATTTATGAATGTCTCAACCATTGCCATTGTACTCCATGAATTATGTACCAAAATGAAAAGTTGTATATACGCACCTATTAAAGTTGTCCGCATATTTCATTTAGATACCTCAATCGACATTTTTTTCCCATTAGACACTCCAATCTTAAAAAATAAATACCTATTAAACATTTTTTTGACACATAATCAAAACAGGAAGTGCGTGTAATTCACATACATATAATGTGGTAACATAACAAATCAAATAAAGACACATGACATTTTAATTCAAAATAACTATAAAAATAAATTTTAAATATAAACAAATCTAAATCTAAAAAGAAAAGAACTTCAACTTCAACTTCCAAAAAAAAAAACAAAAAACTATACACCCTCACCCCCACCACAGCCCACCTCTCCCTTTCTTCTCTTTCCCTAACAGTTACTCTTGCCCACCATAGTTAACTCTCAATACATTAAGTATGAATTTACCATTTTTATTTCTCTCTATGTCTTCTTTCTCATTTCCATTTAAATTGATAGGTGTTTTCTTGAAAGAAATGTTCTTCTTTTATTTATTGTGATTTCGAAGGGGTGTGGGTTGGGGGAGATGAAGAGGGAGGGAGAATATTTGAATAATGGTCTTCATTTTTCCGGCAAAGAAGATGTGGATGGTGATCTCCATTTTTCGGTAAAAAGGACGTAGATGATGATCTCCATTTCCCGGCAAAGAATTGTGAAGAATAAAACCGAAAAAACGGGAATAATAATAATAATATATTTTTTTAAATGATGGTATATTATCATGAAGAAATGGTGACAGGATCCTATGGTCTTGAAATAGAAAGAAAGAGTAAGAGATTGTTATTTTTTTTTAAAAAAATAATGAAAAAAATAATAGAAAAAATTGAAAAAGAAAAGGGAAAACGGTAATATATTAATTTCACGTGGTCAACAAAGTGTGTTTTACACTTTTTGTGCCACATCTGCATGAAATGTCTAAGTGGTTCAAATTCTAGAGGGTACATGTGTTTAATATAGGTACAAATCCTAATTGAAGTGTCTAAGTGAATTATGCGAACAACTTTAAGGGGCATGGAATAATTTAAGCCCGATATATTTTAGGCTATTGATCAGGCACATGTTTACGATTTCAAGTTATAAATATCAATATGGAAGATAAAAGTACATATGCATCAATTCAAAACTCTAATAGGCAGAAAAGTAATTAAGACAACTAAAAGGACAAAATGTAAAAAAATCTAAAGGAAAATACAGAAATAAAATATGGGAAGGTTAGAACCCTGCTGTGACAATTCAAAATATATGGATAACAATTTAAAGATAAGGATGACACGTTGAATCATCATTAATTGCTAAACTCCTGCATCAAGGTGTTTTAATTTCACTATTTCTTGCATAACATCAAAGTTCTTCATCGTTCTTATAATTTGTGGTGTTTATATACAAATCTTTCGCTTTTGATGCAGTTATTCCATGTGTTTCAGTCATATCCAAATCTTTTGGATTAACTCCATATGGGAGTTCCCATTCAAAGTGGTGGAGTAACTGTGCCAAAGGAAGTCCAACATTAGCTAAACCAAATTGTATTCCTGGACACATTCTTCTTCCTGCACCAAACGGGATAAACTCAAAGTGATTTCCCATAAAGTCAACCGAAGAGTTCTCGAATCTCTCTGGTATAAAACATTCAGGATTTTCCCAATTTTTTGGATCTCTCGCAAGTGCCCATGCATTGACAAGTACTCTAGTATTATGAGGAATGGTGTGTCCATCTATATTTGTTTTCTCCCTACATTCCCTAGGTCCTATAAGAGGAACTGGAGTATGTAGCCTTAGTGTTTCCTTAATCACTAAGTTTAGGTATGTCAACTTTTCAATGTCTTCTTCACCATAGTTTTTCTTTCCCTTAAAAACTTGCCTCACTTCACTTTGGGCCTTGGCCATAACATTTGGGTTCATCATCAATTCTGATAGTGCCCAAATAATAGTCGCAGATGAAGTTTCAGTTCCAGCAATAAAGATGTCCTATAATAACAAACAAATAAATTAAGTCAATTGATTCGATTGTTCAAGTAGCTAGAAACCTTAAAATGAACTTTCAAATTCGAATAGCATATCCAGTGAAACCCCATAAAATGGGGTCTGGGAAAAGACTAAAGATAATAATGAGATGAGAGAAAACTTACTGAAATCACAGCTTTAATATGGTCATTTGTGATTGGAAATTGAAGTTCCGCATTCTCTTTCACCCTAAGGAAAACATCAACCAAATCTTCATCTCCAAACTCACCATTTCCCTTCTTCCCAGCTGCTTTATTTTCAATATGTTCATTAATGATATTTTCCATAATTGCATCAATCTTTTGATGTGCTTTCACCAATCTAGATTTCACACCACTTATATTGTGAAGTAACTTCCAAGAAGGGAACAAATCAGCCACATCAAATCCTCCAGCAAAGACAAGTACTTCCTTTAGAAGTGTTATGAACTCGTTTCGATCTTTGCATATTTTTCCAAAAGCTGATCTACAAGTAACACAATTCGTAAACTGAAAAACTTTTTCCGTCATATTTATTGTAGAGCCCTTTGTGGAACGAATAGATGAAATGAGACTTGAAAGCTCATCTTGTCGAATTCCACTAAAGGACTTGACCATCTTCGCACTAAGAAGTTCAACAATACAAATTTTACGCATTTGTCTCCAATAGTCACCATAGTGGCAAAATGCAACGTCTTTATTATTGTAAAATATGATGTTTGTGGATACAAATTGTGGCCTATCAGCAAAAGCGAGGTCATGAGTTTTTAAAATTTCTTGTGCAATAGTAGGTGATGATATGACCACAACAGGAACTTGCCCGAGTTGCAAGTACATAATAGGTCCATATCTTTGCGATAAATTTCTAAGAAGGCGATGTGGAAGTCCTCCTCCGATCAAGTGCTGAAGATTTCCAATAAAGGGAAGTCTCCATGGCCCTGGAGGCAATCTTTGTTTTTTGTTTTTACTCCATTTTCTAAGTAGAATTATTACAAGGGAGGACAAGAAGAGAAGCAATGAAACTAAGTTAAAAAGAGAAGAAAACATTTTTAATATTGGAAACGAAGCTTTTGATGGATATTGCTTTCAAGTAACATTAGCTCATCTTATAGTGGCTCCTTATTATAACATTGAATAGTGTGAGTGCGTAGGAGATTCTTCGACTTCACGTGATAACGATAGCGATAGTAAATAAATCCTAACATGATAAAATTAGTCTTAAAATATGATATGTTATATATATATATATATATATATATATAAACAAGTAATAATCATTTAATTTAATCCATAACTTAAAAATATTTATTTAACTTATAATAAAAATGAAATCTTATTTTTAAAAAATGCAATTTATTTCTAGTGATTTTATTTCTAATTTCTTCTGTATTTTCTTTTAGTTAATTTTGTTTATTTTAAAAAATAATCAGATTATACAAAATCTAATCGATTATATTTCTATAACACAGAAGGAAGACTCTGAAACCTTATGAAGTTCTAGTTGCACGGAAGTTCCTACTTTGATATTTCACTTTTTGATATTACTTTTTTAAATAAGGAAGGATGTGAATACATAAAATCATTTGGGGTCCAAATCTCTATCTATCTTTTACTATTAGACCATTGATGCCTTTTGATTTAAAACTAATGTATGTTGCCTTCTTATTATTACACTCTTTAATTTTATATTTTCATGAAAAAATTGACTTCCCAAAGTTGCATTTTTAAATATATTTTTAAAAAACCCCCGACCTTTGGAAGTTGTTTTTGCAAAAAATAAATAAAAAATAATTATAACATCAACCTGTCGAAATTATTTTTTAAGAAAAACCAGGCTTAGGGAGATCAATTTGCATTTTTCATCTATAGATTCATGGAACGAATAGATGAAATTAGATTTGAAAGCTTATCTTGGTGAGTTTCGCTAAAGGACTTGACCATCTTCACACTAAGAAGTTCTACTATATAAATTTTATGCATGTGTCTCCGATAGTTACCATATTGACTAAATACAATGTCTTTATTATTATAAAATATAATGTTTGTGGATATACACAAATTGTGGCCTATCAGCAAAAGCGAGATTTTGAGTTCTTAGGATTTTTTGTGCAATAGTAGGTGATGATATGTCCGCAATAGGAGTAGTACATAATTCATATTGACTAAATACAATGTCTTTATTATTATAAAATATAATGTTTGTGGATATACACAAATTGTGGCCTATCAGCAAAAGCGAGATTTTGAGTTCTTAGGATTTCTTGTGCTTGTGCAATAGTAGGTGATGATATGACCGCAATAGGAGTAGTACATAATTCATATATTATTATAAAGTATAATGTTTGTGGATATACACAAATTGTGGCCTATCAGCAAAAGTGAGATTTTGAGTTCTTAGGATTTCTTGTGCAATAGTAGGTGATGATATGACCGCAATAGGAGTAGTATATACACTACTAAAAAATTGCTAAAAAACGACGGAAGAAAAAGCAACGGACAGCATCACTCCAAAAAAGCGACGGACTAAGAGATGCCGTCCGTCGCTTTTTATTAAAAATAATTATTTATAAATTAAACAATAACCACGCTGTCCGTCGTTTTAATTTATTTTATTTTATTAATTAGTTTTTTTAAAAAGCGACGGACGACATCTCTTAGTCCGTCGCTTTTTGGTCAAAATATCAAGTCAAACATTTTTAAAAAGCGACGGACAACGTCTCTTAGTCCGTCGCTTTTTAATTAAAATATTTTTAATTTTTTTTTTTATAAAAGCGACGGACGACATCGCTTAGTCTGTTGCTTTTTTTCCGCGTATTTTTGCTAATTAATTGTTTTATATAGATAGTGACGCAATCCGTCGCTTTTTATTAAAAATAATTATTTATTAATTTTAAAAAGTCACGCCGTCCGTCGCTTTTTATTAATTTTAATTGTTTAATTATTTTTTAAATTAGCGACAAACAACATCTTTATGTCCCTCGCTTCTTGGTCAAAATATCTGGTCAAATATTTTAAGAAAGCGACGGCCAATGTCTCTTAGTCTGTTGCTTTTTGGTCAAAATGTTGGTCAAACATTTTTTTTTAAAAGCGACGGACATAGAGACGTTGTCCGTCGCTTTTTTAAAAATATTTGCACTAGCAGACGCAATTTTCCCTATTTCTCCATATAAAAAACAAAATTGAGAAATATTTTGATTTAATTTTATTTAAATCGTCTTCCGGAAAATGGTTTTGTGTAAAATTAAAAACAAAAAAAATTATAATACCGACTTTCAGATGTTGGTAAAATTAAATAGTATGTAATAAATTAATATTTTCAATTAACTTTAAATAAATCGTCCTCCGAATGACGGTTTTATATAAGTTAAAAAATAATTTAATATAAAATACCGACCTCCCAATGTCAATATTATTTAATTAACATGATTACTTTTTATTTATCTTAAAATTTAATGTGATACCGACCTCATGAGGTCGGTATTTTTTATTATATCTAATTACTTTTAATAAAAGCGACATCCGGAGGTCGGTATGTTTAAAATATTCCTATTAATCATAATTTTGCTATTGTGCATGATATTAAAATTTCATTTTACACCTACGATTAATTGTTCAAAAAGTGTAACAATTTTGTATCCTTTTACAAATAAAATGTTAGAATTCGTGAAATAAATAAAAAAATATCTATAATCCATATTTAGAGTATGAAACTACGTTGATATGAATTAGGAGATAATTATACTTATATTTATAGAGTAATGTACAAATCCTATCAGTCCGTTGTCTAATCATAAACTTAATATCTCATGTCATGATGTAATAGAGGTGAAGAGCTAACATATAATCCATTCCAGTATGAAATGCGAGATAGTATTATTATATACGTTCGATCTTGAATGGATGTCAAGTATAGTGATCACCTCCTAATTATGATGACATGTAAAGGATACTTCATCGGAGTATGAAATACGTTGATTAATTATATATATATTTCTCGAGTAGTTTAACAAATCAAGTCTTATATACTAGTGGTTCAGATATGAAATACATTATCAATTAAAGAAATACCGATGATCAATTCAAAGAGATTTATATATTAAATTTGATATTGATAAACTTTTGTTGATCAATAAAATTAAATTTATATAATTAGAAGGTATATAATTTAAATTTATAAAATTAACTTGATCGATAAATTAAATTTATTAAATTAAACTTTTGTTGATGTGTAGTTAAATTATATATATTACTATATTATAGAAGACTCTAGGAATGACTACCATTTTGCCAATAAGATCACTACTAATGTCCAATATATTTATAAAATATATAAGTGGGCCCCACCACCTTCCACTTAAATACTACATATTATATATTATTAATTACTATACTATAAATCACTACTAATATCCAATATATTTATCAAACTATATAAGTGGGCCCCACCACCTTCCACTTAAATACTACATATTATATATTAATTACTATACTATAAATGACTTAAATACTCCATATTATCTATTACAATAATTAACAATTATTTGACACTTTAAATTCTATCAATGCCATATAAATTAGGATAAAAAACCTAAGATATAATATTTAAATATATTTAAAAATAATATAAGTAATACTATACATTACAATAATTAACAGCTTAATTATTTAAAACTTATATAAAAAATTTAATTGACTCTCTAAATTCTATTGGTACCACATAAAATGAATTATATAATAAACATATATTGTTTGAAATTGACGAAAAAGAAACAATAAATTAAAATAATTAATAAAAAAATGGTCCACTCCAAAAAATCTATCAATTAACAACATATATTGTTTGAAATTGACGAAAAAGAAACTATAAATTACAATAATTAACAAAATAAATCTCTCGACTCCAACAAATCAATCAATTAATGCCACATAAATTGGGACATGGCAAATAACATATATTATTAAAAAATTAGGTTCAAAATGTACTATAAAATACAATAATTAACAACTTAATATATTAAAGAGACATATAAAAAAGGGTTAATATTTGAAATTCTGCATCTGCCACATAAATTAGAACAAAGAGAGTAATAAATATGATTTTCAAAATTATGTTAAAAAAAAGTACTACAAATGTAAGTGTATTTTACTAATTTTATTTAATTTATGATTTTTATATATATTATACATGTAAATTTGCATACAGATGTCATCAGGCGGTGACGGTGATAGATATCGCGAGCATCTTGGAGTTGGCCAGACTAAACAGGCTAAAAAGAAGAAGTCTAGGAGACCGATAGATCCTAAGGATATTGCAGGATCTATTTCTTCTGCGCCAGAGCGCATCAGCCATAATACTCATTTATTTGTTGTTCCGTTTGGTACGACGGATCCTCAGCAATATTATCCTAATTATCGTCGACCAGTCGGTGCTTCATCTACTTCACAGGCATTGCCTTCACGACGCTACGAGGACCTACCTTTACAGGCTATTCGTCGAGCACGACCCTTATCGGCAGGTACTCCATCTCCCACAGGTACATCTCCTCAGTTATCTACCATGAGGCTGGGAGATTCTAGTAGCGAGCAGTCAGATGTTATGGCCGGTACGCCTCCATTGACTCAGCGTTTTGTGCATCCTGATGTATCACCCTCGTCTACAGCTGCACCTAGTGCTACACCACATGATACGATGTCTGCTCTAGCTCCTGGCCAGAAGGACAGACTTGGTAGAGTCATGATTGAACCGGATGGATCATCGTAAGTTTGTTTTGTTATCTATTTGTTACGTCATTTGGCTAATTTTCATCCAAATGTTTGGGGATACAACTTCCTTTCTTACACTTCTCAACTCACCGTATGTACTCACAAATATATATATATTAATATTATGTTTGAATTTGTCAAAACTAATACATTATATGCTAATTTTTTTTGCCTATACAGGAAATTACTACTCAAGAAAAACTTGAAGTTGATGAGTACAAAGAAAAAGTCATGAACATGTTGATGGAAATTCATGACAATAGTACACAAAAACTTGTGTTGAT